GACAAGCTAGATCCAAGAGCCACCAAAGGATCTTTGCTCGGCTATACAGATGGTATCAAGGGTTACCGAATCTGGAACCCCTTGACTCGTAAAGTGATTCATTATCGTCACGTCACATTTGATGAATCAGTCATGTTGAAGTCACATGATTCTCAGTCATCTCAATATCCGAAGGTTGTTACTACTATTTCTCCTACTACTGATGATGTGAAGACAATAGACAGTCCTTACATTCCCAGTTCATCTACTCTTGATACTAGGTCAGTATCACCCGTTAATGTTGAAGAAGTCATTCCACCAACGACTTCTACTAGTGATTCTGAAGAAGAGATTCTGAATGATGGTGGAGACCAAGGCGATACGATCCCAGTTATTGCACCTACCAGGCATAGTCAAAGGACTATTCGACCGCCTAACAGGTATGGAGATTGGGATTTTGCTATCATGAGTTTTACAGATCAGTTGGATTTTGCTTTGCATGTAGGGCAAGAGGAGCCATTTGATATAAAAGAGGCATTGGCCTCGACCCACAGTTCTAAATGGCTTGGAGCCATGCAAGAAGAGATGGAAGCTCTCTTGAAGAACAATACTTGGGACTCATGTCCATTACCAAAGGGTAGCTGTGCTATTGGTTGCAAGTGAGTTTTCAAAGTCAAAGATGACAATCGATACAAGGCTCGTCTCGTTGCTAAAGGCTTTGCTCAACGGAAAGGTATCGAGTATGACGATATTTTTGCTCCTGTTGTACGTCATACATCTATTCGTGTTCTTTTGGCAAATCGTGGCTATACACGATTTGGAACTAGAACAGTTAGATGTGAAAACCGCCTTCCAACACGGAGATTTGGAGGAAACTATTTACATGAAGCAGCCCGAAGGCTTCATCTCTGATGGCAAGCCAGATTATGTATGTAAGCTCAAGAAGTCCCTCTATGGACTTAAACAGTCGCCTCGTCAGTGGTATAAGAAGTTTGATTTGTTTATGCTCACTCTGGGATTTGAGCGAAGTGAAAAGGACGCTTGTGTTTATCATAGACAAAGCGGTGGTATTTTCACTTATCTTCTTCTTTATGTAGATGACATGCTTATTTCCTGCAAGGACCGATCAGAAATCGAACACTTGAAAGATAAGTTGAAGTCAGAATTTGAAATGAAGGATCTGGGCACGGCGCAGAAGATTTTGGGCATGGAAATTATTCGGGACATAAAGTCTCATACTCTTAGATTAACACAACGAGCTTATATCCAAAAGATATTGAAGCGGTTCAATCTTGATGGTGCCAAGATGTCTAGCACTCCGTTACCAAAGCACATCAAGATTACAAGTGAAGATTGTCTGAAGGATGACAAGGAAAAGGCTGAAATGTCAAAGGTTCCATATGCTAGTGCAGTCGGGAGTCTCATGTACGCCATGGTGTGTACCCGTCCCGATCTAGCATATTGTGTCGGAGTGGTGAGTCGGTTTCTTGCGAATCCAGGTTTATCACATTGGGTAGTTGTAAAAACAGCATTTCGATACTTGAAGGGAACCGAGACACATGGTCTTATATTTGGTTTACACAATGACTTTGAAATTGTTGGATTCTGTGATTCTGACTATGCAGGTGATCGAGTAGGTTGGAGATCCACATCCGGTTATGTATTTACCTTGGGTGGAACAGCCGTCAGTTGGAGATCACGCTTACAGTCTATTGTGGCATTGTCAACAACGGAAGCTGAACTCGTTGCGGCGGTTGAGTCTGCAAAGGAAGCGGTCCATTTGAAAGAATTGATGAATGGCTTAGGCTTCAAGCAAACTTCCGTGCGTATTTTCTGTGATAATCAGAGTGCCATCCATTTGGCAACTAATTTGGCTTTCAGTTCTCGGACAAAGCCATAAATGTGTGATGCATATCTCGTGGGATTGCATGAAGCGAAAATTGTCTATTTGAAGAAAGTCCTGACAGACGACAATGCCGTTGATATGTTCACTAAGTCACTACCGCCAGCTAAGTTTGAGCATTGCTCAAACTTGATCCAGCTTCGTTTGTGTTAGTGCCGTTGGGCACTTTGGTAGAGAGAGGAAATATATTACCACAGGTGACAAAACGACACCTTTGAAGGAATTACTTTGTCAAGTGCTTTAGAGCTTTGCTTTGCTCTACTTAGTGTAAGTAGATTGTGCATTCAAGGTTATTGGTTTGCTTGTAACTTTGACGGGTGATGGCCATGCCGAAGCTCATCACGGTTGGAATGCAATTTGCTACCTCATGCCAATTTACTTATTATCTACTTGTTATGATCAACTATTGGAATAACTCGTATATGTTGGATTGGGATTCGTTTCGCTTTTGAGGATCTCGTGCATCATGGTGGAGTGTTGTAATATAAATATATTACTTGTGTTTATGGATGCTGCACTCGAAGAACAAATCAATAAAAACGAAACTTGGTGACTACTCCACCAAGCTTGCTCACTACTCATCCACCAAGCTTGCTCCCTACTCTTACCAAGCTTGTTCACTACTCATTCTCTAAGTTTGTTCCCTACTCTTTGTTTGGTTATAAATAACCATTTGGCCCCAACATATTTTCACACCCCGGTTTTCTATCTTCTTCTAGATACAACACTCTCTAGCTAGTATATTACATATATGTGTGTGAGATACGAGAGTGTTCTTGAAATTCTTATTCTGGAAGACTTGCTAGTTGATTGCGGATTTAAAGATCCTTGTACAAGCACTTTGTAATCTCCTTGGTGGTAATAATATTCTTGCTCTCTCTCTTTGGTGGACGTACACTATCACACCGATAGTGGAACCACGTTAAATTATTGTGTTGTTATTTTGTGAACTTGTCATTTACGTAGATAACAACATATATTGTTATTATCTATATTTGGGTTATTTATTTTTCGATAGAGTCATTGTGCAACATCTAGATCATTGTTATCCGCATTTGTTGTCGGGTTTGTTGTGTATTTGGATTTCTATTTTGAAGGGACCTTAGAAATCACTTGCTAGCTTTGTTATTGTGACACATCTTATCCTACAGTTGTAAGATCAAGTCTGGTTCTACAAACATTCTCCCTTGAATAAAAACAACATCAATAATTGGTTCTTCAAGAATTAGAATATATATTCTTGGAATTTTGTTGATGAAAGATTTGTATAATCTGTATAAGTCATCATCTCCAGCCCTTGTAAACCAAGATAGATGTCCAAATAACCTTACCCCTTATTGGATCTCTTACTACTATTAAAAAATCTCCTCTAAGGTTACAAACTTTTCGAATACAGGCAAGTCACTAAAGCATCTGTTATCTGTCAATTGAATTTTGAACACAGTTTTGAATTATCGTAGCTTTCACCTTCTCAAAAACCAACTATCTTAAACGATCATACTTTGAATTAGGCAAATTCTAAGCATTCAACTATGAACATGAAGATCTCTGAGTATACACCACAAGATCTGTACACTTGTTTTCATTACCAATACTAATTCATCATCAGAGCTACTATCAAAAACCAATTTTATTACTACATTTGGAAACACCTGACTATCCCTTGAAGAATCATTGTACAAACTCTTATGTGTCTTCCAACTCTTCTTGATCAAATAACCATCTTCAAAATCCATAACCTCACTTTATTCCAGTTTTTTCAGTAGCATCTACACATTCAGTAGCATCAAAAATTGTTTCATCAACTTGATCATGAATATTACTATCAACTAGCTCATCTTAATCTTCTTTCACATACTCAATCATTATAGTATTTTCATTAACATCTTCTGCACCCTCACCATTATCACCCATTTGCACATCATCATCAAAAATTTCTTCAATTATGATCCCTGCATTCACATCTTTTTCATCAAACCATTGCTTTTTCTCCTCCTCATGAGGATCAGAGTCATCTATGTCGTCATATTATCTTTTTGTTACTCTCATTCTGCCTTACAATTCAATTTAGATATATCTACTTTAACCTCCTTTATCAAACATTCCAAATATTTAATTTGATCTTGCATCCCTCCAAACTGAACATCTGACACATACTTTTCTTTGGCTAAGGGTTGATACATGTAAGCTTTAGGCACGATAGGAATTGGATTTTTGACAGCATCTGAGGTTGATGAGGGAACATTGCGAAATAGGGATTGTGTTTGATGTTTTGAAAGGTTGGATGATAAGGTTTCAAAGGATTTAAGTATTATGACTTGAAAGGCTAGAAAATTTGATCTAGAAACTGCATTAGATTTGGTAAGCTATTGGCTATTTTCTCCAACAAACTTTTGTTCTCCTTCTCAGACTCTTTAAGCTTCTCCATTTCATCTTTGCATTAATAGAACAAACCCATTAACTCCTTCCATCTTATTACCAAATTTTTCATCCATTTTCTCCGCCTTATGCACCAATTCATTAGATTGTAATGAACCATTCGTCAATTCTTGTAATTTGTAATGAATTAGATTTGCAAAACTCCCTGAAGGATTTAAATTCATCTCGAGTTACATAGAATAGAGGTAACCCTGTTTCAACAAATGGAACAGTTTGCATATTGCCCAAAGATTAAACAAATTCATCTTATGCAACAAATGAACTAGAAGTTGGAGCTTTCTTGATGTTCACCCACCTTTACAACTCAATATCAATCAAAATATTACTTTCTCTCTCATCCACCTATATAATCTTCAACTTCAATCCAATCTTACTTTTTTTTATCATATAACCACAATCCCCTCTTATCTAATCTAATCTAAAATATTATTTTGTAAAAACCATATATTTAATTTTTTTATATAATTATTAATTTGGAATTTTAAGTATAAAAATAGAATAACCGGACCATTACATATTTTAAAACATAATTCTAATTATAAAAAAATTATCATACAATTGAAATTAAATAAAATAAGTCACAAAAATAAGTACGAAATTACATATCTGAAATACATAAATAATCGTAGTTAATTATCATGACCGAATTTTTGCCATATATGCTCAATCAAATCATTTTTTAGAGCGTTATAAGCTTCCCTATTGCGAAGTTGTTCTCTGTTAGCCATATAACGAGATAGGTTTGAAATCCGCTCAGTAGAGAATTCAGTTGATTGACCACCATCTTTTGTAGTGCTTTTTGTTGTCGATTTGTGAGCATGTCGTTAAGAAACTCAGTAGGATCATAATAATTTTGGTATGTATCTCGTTTGTCTTCAACTATCATATTATGCATGATGATACAATTTATCATAATTCGTCCCATTATATCCCAAACAAGACATGGTCGTCGAATAAATGCAAAAAAACGAGCTTGTAGAACTCCAAATGCTCGCTCAACATCTTTTCTGCATGCTTCTTGAACTTGAGCAAACAACTTGTGCTTCCGCATTTGGGGAGATGTAACTGACTTGACCAATGCAATCCATGAAGGATATATTCCATCAGTGAGATAATATGTCCTATCATTTTTGTGACCATTCACGACATAACTAACTTCAATGATCGACCTGCCAATACATCATTAAAAATAGGTTGAGTACATTAATATCATTAAGCGAACCTGGGGTTTCAAAGAAAACATGAAATATCCATAAATCATATGATGCAACAGCTTCCAAAATGATTGTTGGCTTTCCATTTCTTCCGGCATATTGTCCAACCCATGCACTTGGAAAATTTTTCCATTTCTAATGCATGCAATAAATACTACCTCTCATACCCGAGAATCCACGTTGATCTCCAATGTATAGAGTAGTCTTGCCAATTCAGCTTCGTTAGGCTTTCTGAGGTACTCGTTATCGAAACATGAGATGACACCATCTACGAAGTACATGAGAGCTTCCCTTGTTGTGGATCTACTCATTCTTAAATATTCATCAACTACATCACCTGATGTCTCATATGCCAACACCCTCATGGTCGCAGTACATTTTTGTAATGGTGAAAGACTATGTCTACCCATGGCATCAACTCTTTACGGAAAATATTTGTCATTAGCAGTAACATCATCCACTATACGACGGAATAAAGATCTTCACATTCGAAATCTTCTTCGGAAGATAACCCGGTCATACGTCGAATTGTCGATAATAGTCTTCCATCAAACACACTTCGCCTATCTCACGTTGCCTATCATGATACCTCCTACTTGCTCGTGGAGGTTGATCTCCTATGAACATCTTGGATGAGTTTTATGACCATATCCTCGATGACGCGATCAAGTTGTTGGTTTTGTTGAACAACTCGTGATTTCCATTCATCAAATTTGTCAACTGATTCTGGTGAAGAGTTTTCATTGTAAGACATTTTAGTGGATGTTTGAGAAAAATTGTATGTATAAGTCTTTGTTGAAAGACAACAAATATATAAGGTATTATTGGGAGACAATGACATGTGAACCTGAGTGAAAAAGACAACACATTATTGGGAGAAATGACATGAGAGCCTGAGTGAAAGAGACCTATCAGTAGTGAGACACAATGGCATGTGGACCTAAGTGAAAGAGACAACACATTATTAGGAGACAATGGTATGTGAATCTGAGTGAAAGAAACCTATCATTATTGGGAGACAATGGCATGTGAACCGGAGTGAAAGAGGCCTAACTTTATCAGGAGAAAATGGCATGTGAATCGTTCATTTTAACATAAAAACAAACTTCAGATAGCACACTTGAAAAAACAAGTTACAAACAGATATACGAAATAATAAATTACATATAGAGAATTCTAAATTGAAAATAAACCACTATTCATACAACATTTTCAAAAGACGTTCTTTCAACACCTCCTCTCTTAGTGACAAGTGTTCTTTCGCCAACAATATACGCCGATTCTTGTGGTGTTCTCGCTGATTCTTTTGGTGTTCTTTCTCTTTTTCGAATTCAAGTCTTTTGGTCATGATTTCAACCTCACCGTTTCTTGTGATGTTCAATGCACAAAATTATTCAGAATAGTCAAGAGCTAAAGAAAATTGTGATGCCTTACATTTTCTTTTTCTCTTTGTCGCATCTCTACCCACAACAATTGGCGATTCTTGATTGGTTTCGACATAATAATCTCCTTTTTCTGAAGTTCTTGATCTTTTTGTGCTTCCACCACTTTCTTCATTATCCACTTCATATTTTGGGCGACAACGTGTCATTTCACGTTCTAACTGTAAATCCCGCTTGGGATGTTTACACATAACTTCGTTAAAAACAAGCGAGTCATTAAACTTGCTCCCACCCATCTCATAAATTTCATGAGTCTCTTTCTCAACATCTTTCATACTAATTCTGCTCATCTTCTGTCGATATGCTTCTTTGTATGCAGCAGTCCATTTGTTTGCACTTTTGTTAAGTCGTGCAAATGATATTTCATTTAATTTCCATTCCTGATTCCTAGTCCTTCTGCATTTTCTGTTTGAGTTTCGCCATAATATTCTTTCACTCATGACCAAAATGTCAGTTTCTTCTGGTTTTTGCTCGAGTAGGTTCTTCATTAACGTAGATTCATGCTAACATCGACACCATATCTTCTTTGGTTTTCCATTTTATCGATTCTTGAACTCTTTCGCAATGTTTAAGTATTTTTAGAGGTAGGAACTTGATTATCATAGATAAAAAAACTCAGAGTTTTTAAACTATGTGTGTGGGTGATATTAAGAGTTATCAGGATGTTGATAATTTGATTTTTTTTGGAAAGTTTGGATCTATAGCAGAAAATTGAAAGTTTTTTTTTGGAAAGTTTGGATCTATAGCAGAAAATTAAAAGTTATTTTTTTTTTTGGAATTTACAAGATAACGAGAGGATTGAAATGAAGAAAAAGATTGGTGTGATGAAAATATGTCATGTTAGGCTCTATTTGTAGGGAATTGAAAACCATGAATTTTGATATATTTATTATTTTATAATTTTTCTTGTTAAAGTCATTTTTTATCAGATAAGTTTTATAAAATAAAAATATAACTTGACCAAATATGACACGTGGCGATAAAGATATGATAGAAAATTACAATCCGGGTTCGGGTGGCGATAAGTTTTGTATTGCTAATTACTTTTTTATTTTAATTTTTTTTGTCTTACTCACGATCAGATTGGTAGAGACCGTGAGTAAAGATGGCCTTAGACCCTGGTTCTGTCATTCCTATTATGTTAAAATATTGAAAAATCTTCTAAAATATTGAAGTCTAGAATCTGCTTTCATAAAGAACTAGAGGTGCTTAACTAGAAGCTCACGTCGTAAGATATAAATAGATAAAAGTGTAAAATAAAAATATATGGATATAAAATAAATTAATTTATATATATATATATATATATATATATATATATATTTATGATATTTATTGGTATTATCAAATAAAAAAAATTTAATATTGAGTTTATTTTGAAGATATTGACGAAACGATTATAATGATATAGTTTATAAAAAAAACTCGTATTTTTAAATGCATTTTAGTTTATATACGTGTTTTAATCCTATATAAATGGTAAATGAAAAATGAAATTTAAAGGAATATTTAAGCGCTAAGATTTAAGGAAGGTTTTTTAAGTGACTATGGTCGATATTTATATAATTCATCACGCCAGAAACGCCGGCTAGGGTTTTTCTTCCACTCTTCCGGTCTCTACAATTTGATTGGAAAACCATGGTCGGCTTCCAAATCGGCGACGTACCCTTCAACTCCGACGGCTGGGGTCCACCGGAATCCACCGACTCCTCTGTACCTGTTCTTCCCAATCACCCTGTCAATGTCCCCTTTGCACCGTTCTCCCGCTCCGACAAACTTGGCCGGATCGCCGACTGGACGCGAACCAATTACAACAATCCTAAGTACCCCGCCAACCGCAATAATCCGGCTGACTCCGCCTTCGACTTCACAACGGATGATTCGTTCGGCGGTGGCATCAACGCCGATGAGGACTCCACCTTCCGCCTAGTCGATGGCAAACCCCCACCACGCCCCAAATTTGGGCCTAAGTGGCGGTTCCAGAACAACCGCAACCAGCTCCCGCAGCGCCGTGACGAGGAAGTGGAGGCACGTAAGCGTGAAGCCGAAAAGCAACGTGCTCGCCGAGATCGTTTGTATCATGCCAATCGGTCTGGAGGTAATAACCCTAGACGTGAAGCGGCGGTATTTAAATCGTCAGTTGATATTCAACCGGAATGGAACATGCTTGACCAGATCCCTTTCTCGACGTTCACCAAACTATCGTATAATGTCCCTGAACCTGAAGATTTACTCATCTGCGGTTCGTTAGAATCGTATGATAAAAACTACGACAGGACGACACCGAAAAACGAACGCCGATTGGAGCGTTTCAAGAACAGAAACTTCTTCAAAGTTACGACTACTGATGATCCCATCATTCGCAGATTTGCCAATGAGGATAAAGCAACGGTTTTTGCGACGGATTCTATACTCTCGACGTTAATGTGCGCACCTAGGTCAGTTTATTCTTGGGATATAGTAATTCAACGTGTTGGGAACAAGTTATTTTTTGATAAACGTGATGGATCGCAGTTAGATTTGTTATCAGTTAACGAAACTTCTCAGGAGCCTTTGCCTGACGCTAAAGATGATATCAATTCAGCTCATTCTTTATCTGTTGAAGCTGCTTATATAAATCAAAATTTTTCACAGCAAGTTTTGGTTAGAAATGGGAGTAAGTTAAGTTTCGAGGAGCAGAATCCGTTTGCATGTGAAGGGGAGGAGGTGGCATCTGTTGGGTATAGATATAGGCGATGGAAGCTTGATAATGATACCAATTTGGTGGTTAGATGTGAGGTTCAGAGTTTTCTGGATGTCAATAATCAGAAGTCCTTCTTCACTTTGAATGCCTTGAATGAGTTCGATCCCAAGTATTCAGGTGTTGACTGGAGGAGGAAGTTGGATACTCAAAGGGGGGCGGTTTTAGCGACTGAATTGAAGAATAACGCTAATAAAATAGCCAAGTGGACTGCCCAAGCGATTTTAGCTAGTGCTGATATGATGAAATTGGGTTATGTAACTAGGGTTCATCCTCGTGATCATTTTAATCATGTTATATTAGCAGTTGTTGGGTATAAACCAAAAGAATTTGCTGGGCAGATCAATTTGAATACTTCAAACATGTGGGGAATTGTGAAATCTATAGTGGATTTATGTATGAAGTTGAATGAAGGCAAGTATGTATTGGTTAAGGATCCACAGAAGCCTCAAGTGAGGATCTATGAAGTTCCTGCTGATGCTTTTGAGAATGATTATGTGGAAGAGCCGTTGCCCGAGGATGAGCAAGTTCAGCCTCCTTTGGAAAACGGTAATGCTGCTGATGAAAATGGAGTCACCGATGAAGTGGAAGGCAAGGAAGTTAAAGCTGAAGCTTAGAAGGTATTACTTTTTTTGTGCTACATGTTTTATTGAATCGATTTTTCCTTTCCTTACTTTGCTTTAGTTGTTTGTTGCTTTCTTTAATTTGCTTTAGCTGTTTTGTTGCTTTCTTTTCTATGCTTTAGTAAAGGTTTAAGGAGCGGTTTAGCTGCAAATTTGCAACGCTCTGTGCGCTCGCTTGTTGGTGCTATTTGTTCTGTATAAGCATCTTGCAAAGGCCACACTTGCAAGACGTACACAGGCTATATTAACATATGCTATTCCTATGATAAATCTTGTACTTATTTGATCAAATTATCTCTCATTTACGCATTAGTAATGACTCAGCAGAACATGATACCATTGGCTATCAAAAGCTTCACTAGTCATTGCCATCACGTCTTAAGTTCCAAGAGCTGTCTTTGGATTTTTTTTTTGTCATTGTAGGGCAAAGATCTATCATCATGAAGTTGAACCTTCACGGCCCACTCATATCTTGATGCTTTGGATTGTATGACCTTCATCTACCTCTGACACCTTTCCTCGAGCCTCACCATGCTTAGTTGACTTTCTAGATGTCTGATGAGGTGTGAATGCCATGATCTTTTCTGCTAGGTGGTTGTTGCTGGTGATTTTTTTTTTTTG